GCATGTCTGACCATGACGGATGATCAGGGAGCCACTTTTCAAAGCTGATATAGAAACTGGAAGAGTAAGCTGCTTGCCAGGGAGTGCATGGTAGGCAGGTAGAAAGCAAAGTATTGACTGCCGATCTTCAGCACCAAGAGCATTGTCAGATCAAGGATGTTTTCATTAGGAAAGACACTCAAAGTGAGTTATCTGTCAGATGTCTTCAGAAGGAAAATGTGAGTGCTCAGAGATTAATGAACTACTTAAGGAAGTCACCTGAATAGCAGAGCACACAGACTGCAAGGCAAAGGAAAGGGTTGTGAGGAAAGACTCCAGACCCATCTAAGAGAGCAGCGATCCCACACCGTGTTCTTAGAGTCAAGTAAAGAATCAGAGAATGAGAAAAGGGTCTGAACAGCAAATAAAGCTATTTCCTCAGCCAGGCAATACAGGGGTAAAGTAATGATTCCCCACAAAAAGGAAAGTTTGCCAGAAAATTAAGCTGAGTTAAACCTTGCAAAAGAGATTAAAACAAATAGCTATTTCATCAGCTGTCTAAATAAAAAGCGAACACAGAGTGAATAAATGGAGCTGATACAGAGGGCAAATGTAGCAGGAACTAAAGATAGCCTATGAATGGCCCAAAATAAAATGAATACCTTTGCCTCTACTTTCAATGAATATGGCAGGAGGACAAAGGGTAATTAGTGGAAAAGTGGGTATTAATACCTACCACATTCAATATACAGGCAGAACTCAGATAAGTGAGAGAGCTGAATACCATGAATTTTGAAGGCACGATTCCACTTGGAACGAGCGCTCTGATAATAAGCATCCTTCATTTAGCTATCAGGTCACAAGTAATACCAGGGCTGCACCCTACTTCAATGCTAAGTCTCAATTTCCTTCCCTGCACCCCTTCCAACCATACGTTCATCTTGCTCTTCATTTTCCCAATTTTTTTTTTAACAACGACTTCTCAGACAGTGACTTCTCCCTACTTCTGCTCCATAAAACCAATGATTTGCCTGAGGATTTTGGTGAACTTGTTCCCAAACACATTCAACATGGGATGGTATGAAAAGCTTTAGGCAAATGATTGAGAAAAGAAGAAAAAAAAAATAAAGGTCTGCCAAAATTACAAACATCTGAAAAACAGGGTGTATTGCAGATAGGAATATAAAACAGTAATAGTAATATCAGAAAGTAAGATGTTACACAACTTGTGAAAATACCTTGCCTCTGCTAACACAGAATTTGAGTGAGGGGTGCTCTGTCTATTTTTCCTCTCAGCAAACCACTCCAAGTCACAAAACTGAATAAAGAGAAACATTCTCAGCACCTTCCAGCACCTCACCTCCAGCTCAGTGTCTCCTCATAAGCCCAGCCCTATGAATAATGTGAAGGATGAGGTTCTGACAGAGTTAATGGTAAAGAAACTGCAACACTTGTACTGAGCTGACTGCTTTTCAGAAAAACAATACCCGCTTCCTCCTCTCCCAGAGAGTTTAATTTTCAGTGTGGTTATTGTTAGCCATCCTCTTCTAGTTACAAGCAAAAAGCAGAGTTTATTTTACATCATCTATATTCCTTCTTCCTTAGCGGTACTTAATGACATGAAGGAGCTGAAAACTTGTTCTCAGCCAAGCCAATATCCTATGAGTTATAAATGACATTTCATCCTCATATGCAGATTTTCTATGCCTAAGTGAATTATTTACAAGTTACAGCTTGTGGGCTCCAACAGTCAGCTGCCAGAGATTTACACCTACACTGAGTCCTGCTCTCCTGCTGGGAGAATGTGAAGTTTTCCACCACCCTTTAAGATCTGAAGACTTAACAGAGAATAACTCTTCCTGAAGCTGGCATTGCCTTTCTTGGGATGGTGGCTGACTAGGCATTGCTTAGGGAGAGAAAATAATGGTGAGCTGAAACACCAAGACTGACTGCTTTAGCAGCTTAAAATAGGCTCTTTTTCTTCCTCTGCATGCAGCTGCAAATCAAATGTATCGTGGATCATTTAAATACTGCACTTTCAGACTTGTAAGCTTAGTGCCAAAAGTAGTCATAGTATTGTTTTGTTTTGTTTTCAAAGGAAAAAAGCATAGAAAATGAGTGCTACTGTTATTTACAAACTAACAGGAATGTGGATAATAAAAAAAAAGGAAGTTACTTAGATTACTCCAAAAGCAATGCCTCCTATTTATTACCACAGACACTTAATGGATACAAAGAGCCCAATGACACTATTTGAAAGAGCAAATTCTCAGCTACAGAAAATTGTTTTTCAACATAGTCACCACCATTAGCTCTGCATTTTCTTCAGTGATGTTCAAAATGTTGCCCACACAGTCCATCTTTCATCATCCATACAGATGGAAATCAGAAGGTACCAAATCTGGATATGCAAAGGGTGTGGCAGGACAGTCCAGCCAAGACTGGCAATGTACTCAACAGTATTCCAGCTGGTATGGGGTCTGGATTTATTGTGTTGCAAGAGAATGATGCGATCTGGGAAAGTATCACCTTCAGCCTCATGTTAGTTCAGTAGATTCTGACTATCCTGCATATGGTGTTCTTTCTGTTCCTGTACAAGCATTCATGGGTCCCACCTGCTGCAAACTTTGTGATGTTCCAGTGTTGCCACTGTTGTTTCCAGTGCACTGCAGCCAATATTCAGCTCTGTAAATGGTTTCCTGGTTGTAATTTGCTGATATGTATGCATGATCTAATTCAGACCTCTTCATTTTGAGGTGTGACAGCTGTGCATGGCTATCTGGAACATGCCTTGTCTGTAACCACTGCTGAAAGGCAACACCCACCACCTCACATTCGCTGTTTGGTCTCCATAAACATTCAGCAAGTGAATGTCACTGGGTACTATTTTTTCTGCATGGAGGAATTCAGTTTCACGCCTTTGCTCCATCTGCACTTCCATGTCAAATGCCTTTCTGTAAGACTGCCCCTCTGCTGCCATCTGTCACATGGCAACAAAATGTAATGGGATATTGGTGGAAAGGTTCAACCTCTACTGCTGTACCACCAACATCCACCTCTGATGCTGTGGGCCAACATAATAAGAGACATTATTTTCAGAGAAGCTCTTGTAGAAATTCTCTGTGAAAGTATAAGTTCAGGTTTAAAAGAAGTGGAGCAGGATGAAAGCTTCAAAATCATATCAGATTTAAAGTAAGTTACTTGAAGCAAACTGTGAGGTGTTTTGAAAGCTGCGCTTCTCTTGCTTAGTCTTTTTATTGCTGAGAGAACTGCGGAGAGTAGAGCATTATGAGGTGGGATCACAGGTGTGTGAGCATTGACAACGTGGCGCTGCATTGCCAGGAGCCAAGTGTCCCAGCAAGCGTGTGTGCAGTGCATTCATGGCTCCTCCCTGATGCCACACCTGGGCTTTCCTTCTCCTTTGTTATCTTCATTAAACGGCAGTGTTTACACCCAGGGGGAAACCAGAGCAGTATTGCAATTTCAGATCTCAGAAAAGCAGTAGAAGCTGTCTACCTGGTTACATGCAGGTGGCAAAACATGGCAAAACTGTCATTTGGGGGGAACAGTCTCTCACTGGCAGGGAATTGGCCTGGAAGACATAGCCATTTCTTTCCTAATCAGGTATCTGTGATCCTGAAGTACTCAGCGTGACTCTCTCCTTACATTTGAATCTCCACTGATAGGAGGTAATCTACTACTTCTTCTGTTTTCCCCCCCATCCAGTTTGTTTGTTATATTATTAGGCTGCTTGTAAAATTGTTTGAGTATGCTTTTACCTAACTAGCCTTCTGGGGAAAAAGAACAACAAAAGACCCCTAAGTGTCAGGCTCCTTCCACTGATGGATAAGATATTGGTGCTAGATGAGCTCATCCTTCACTCCCCTCGGGTCACATGTGGAAGAGTCTCACATAGAAACTAAGCAGTCAGTAACAGTTCTTAGTAAGGTGTTTTCAACTTTCACAGCTCTGGGACTTGATCCAGATTGTCAGTTCAATACATATATACCTGCTTAATTGTAAGACAATAAATTCTCATTGACTGTAATAGTCACTATGTGTTTTGCTGAATTTGAGACCCATGTCAACACCTGAGGCTTGCTATCTGTCTGCTAATACCTGCCTGCATCTAATGCTGTCTCCATGAGCCTCCTAACATCATCTACCTCAGAGAGGGATGTGAGGAGTGCAGACGAGCTGATCACTTGTTTTCTAAAGTAGTATGTAGCATGAAAATCTAAAGTGGCTTTGAGAGAGAGAAATATCACTAGAAAGTAGATAAAATGTTCCTTCAGGAAAGAAGAGTAAAGCTTTATTTCATTTCATTCCACTTGCTGATAAAAGGCTTGTGTTCTGGTTGAGAGTCTTCCTCACCATACTAATAAATACCTTTTTCTTTTAAACCAGAAAACAGTAAAATGGCAATTTAGACTAGCTAAAATATATAATTACTTGGTCATAAAATGGACCATAAAAGTACTGTGTTGTTGAATCCATTTCATTAGTAGCAAGTACATAAAAACTTTCAGTGTATAAGGACATAAGCCTTGTTCTTCCTTGTTTTCAAATTAGTGGGTTTTTTTTTGTTGCTGCTCTTGGTTTTGGTAGTATTGTTTTTCTTTTTGCTCTCAGCAGCATTACTCTAGAAGCTGTGCATATACTCCTTCATTTTGTTACCTATATCAGTATAGCTTTGGCTTGTTAAACTCAAAAGTATTATCATAACTTGAGAATCTAAAACCAAAAACTGTATGTCACTTCTACCCAGGCTGAATGTTGATGTCAGTAGATTCGCTGTAACAGGCAGATGTGTTTTGGGCTTTCTTTTTGAATCCCAAAATCTGGGGATAGTGCAGATAAATTGGTAAATTAAGCAGTAGAGATAATCCTGTAGAGCTGCCTTCCAAACTTTCATCTCATTATTTGTTGGCTGTTTTCAATCTGAAAGAGTATACAAGTCTTTCAAGATGTGCATGTCTTAACTATAAAGTGTTCCTACTCAAAAAAACAATAATGGCAACAAAGAAAAATAGAACCTTGGGAAATAAGGAAACTTTTCCCCGGAGATTTTAATCGGTGGTTAATCCAGCATGTCTGCTTTGCAATGTCACCCATTCCTGTGAAACACAGCACTCTTCAGTGATCAAGAATCCAAGCTGGCATAAAGAACTTCTTCATTAGGACATCAAAACTGGAGGAATATTTTTGGTTTTTACTATAACTTTTTCTTGGAAGTGTGTTCACTTATTTCACGACCACCTAAGGCTCTCTAAGGCATGCAGCAACACAGTTTGAGACATCTCTGTGATGTTCTGTACATCATATAGTTGCTAACAACCTGTCAAAGTCATCCTGACACCAAACTGAGAAGCCGATAGTTTTAGTAACATATTAGCAGAGATGAAAAAAGATGGTCCTCATTATTGTAATAAAATCAACAGAGACACGCTGAGAATCAATTACTGATTTTGTGACCTGTTGAACTAAACCTCAGTGAAGTGGGAAACTGCACAGAGCATCTTACATTATCAAATGATTTAGGATAGAGCACTGTCTGAAGACTTGCAACAAGTCAAGGCAAATATGTTTCCTTAAATTGTAGCTTGCTTAATTACCTTGTTCATGAGCACAAAGATCAAATTGAGCAACTTAAGGTGCTGATGCACTGTGCCAGCTGGACATGAAGAGGAAATAATTAACACACACAAGAGCCAAGTTTAAGGATGAGACTCTTACTGACAACAGCAAGGAGATCCAAAGTTAAGGCAGACACTGTGTCCTTGACTGGATCCATGTGCCTACAATTTGCAGCACATATTGGATTGGGGAAGAGCACCATGTGTTGCAGCCATTTCAAGTAAGCAGATGGCTTTTTAAAGCACTCGATGTAGGGAAAGCAAAGCCCTTTCAAAGGCTGGCATTTCACTCTCATTATTTGTCACAGATTGTTCCACTCTTGCCTTTGCAACACCCGAGTATCATCAAGAAAACTTTCTTTCATGAAAGGTACTGTGCAAACAAAAATATATATATTTTTTATATAATGAAGGTACCAATGAAATAGGAAATTAGTAATGATATTTCATAGCTGTAAAGCAACATCCAAAATTATTTCCTTTCTCTTTTCTAAAACCTAGCCTTGAAGAGAAAACTGAAATTTGCTTAAAAATCTTCTTCATGCTCAATCGCTCTTCTCAAGGCCACAGCAACATCTTTCTTCCTACTGGAACATCTCCCAAAAGCAATGTTTTTCCTCCATAAGCAAGCTCAGCAGCACTAAGGTGCACAGTAATTGTTGACCAATGAAGAACCGAACCTACGAGGCCAACTTTCATGCATTACTTCCTGCATTTTTTCAGAGGATCTCCTATGCCTGCTTGAAGGCACCCAAGATAAACACAAAGAAACCACCTCATTCTAGCATATCATCTTGAAGGATGGACTCTTTGGAGTACTGCACACTACAGAATTGTTATGATCAGGGGGGCCAGATGTCACCAGCTGAGTCATTCATTTGATGTTGCACCATTGCGTGGTACTGCTGCCATAGATACTGCCCTGCCCTTATGGTGGCTGCTGTGATTCATTGAAAGTAATATCATCCCAACTGCCACTCCAGGGAATCTTGCAGGCATGATTTTCTAACACAGAACGACCCCTTAAAAATAACTGCCAGAAATACTGCACTTTATAAAAGGGCATCTTTATTAATTCTCACGGTGGGTCACCAGAAAGTCCCAGGAACTACTGTACTCATGGGGTAATTTGTAGTTATCAGAAACATTGCATTTAATGTCTTTATTCCAGTGGAACCGGAGCCCACTGGTTACTAAACAGCCTCCTCCTCTTAAATCACAGAAATTAAAGAGGAGAGAGACTCATCAGATTATTTTATCAATCCACTCTTTGAATGCAAAATTGGCAAATGTATAGTCTTTGCCGCCAAAACATTCAGAGCCAGGGACACTCACCACTGTGCTACATGCCACTTCACTTATCAGTGCCTACTAGTGTTTGGCCTTTCTCCTAAAACAATGAATTCCTGTGTATGCAGCACAGCACTTCATCCTTTGGATAGAGCCTCATCCAAAGAATAGACTCTAAATGACTGCAGAGTGCTGTGGACCGATTCACTCACCTGATCTGTTTATTCTTCCAACTCTATTGGAGTAGGACCTGGTGTTTCACTTGGGTAGTTAGACTGAAGGATTCTAAACTTCTATTTTTATCAAATGAAAGACTCTTCTCAGAACTAAACAAAAATTCCACAAGATTTAGACAAAAGTATTAACTTCACTTCTTCATGCTTGTGTTCTATGAGAACATCAGGTGTCAACAAATCTTACGTACTTGTATTGCTTGTTAAAACGGGTGCCAAACTCCCTGAAGATCTATCCTGTTTCCCAACACTGAAGTTCATTGTATGGTGGGTTGGCAATGGCAAAGTCCCCCAAAGAAGAGCACACAACAAGATGTTATGCATGAACTTATCAGCATTGTCCTAAAATGTTACTGTTATAAATGTCCTACAAAAAGAAACCATCACAGAATAGAGTAGAATGGCTATGGTAACTAGATAACATAGATAGTTATCTAGGCACAAAAACACTCTTTTTAAGCTCCTTCCAGTGAAATGCTTTCCTCTTGTATTCCAGGTTTAGTGTTGACTCAAATACAGTGGCTCAAAGTTACAAAGCATAGACTCTCTACAGCATTGAGTATGAGCTATAATGCTTTGGGCCATAGCAGCAACTCATAACAATGAGCCATAAATAATAAATTCCAACACATGTCTTACTCCGCAAGGGTGTGGAATGCGTTTCAGAGCAAGCTCCTTGCAGGACTGGATTAGAGGCCTCCAGGCTATGTCACAGCTTCTGAATGATGTCCAAGAACAAGTTATAGTTCTGTAGAGAGTATATCAAATAGGAAGCAGTTCTTTCCTTTATATATTACTTCCCCAGTCATTATGAAATCATTTTGTATTCACTGTGATAACACCAATCACTAATATACTCATTTGGCATTCATATGACTTGTCTTATGCACTTCCCCTGTTCTGTTGTAATTAACAATTAGTTAATGCAAATAGTAATGGACATTTAAACTCAAGTGTTACAAGACAGGGTCACTAGTAGCAGAGAATCAGCATGCTCACAAAACCAGCTCCAGACCCTTCAAAAAGCTCTTCTAATAGTAATGAAAATCTAACAGTAAATACATCACTTAATCAGAATCGAGGGTTATTAAAAGCATTTTACAGTGTTTTATCTGAAAACAATATTCTTCATTCCACCTCCTCTATTTGCATTTCCATAAGAGCGGACACATAGGCAGCTTTTCTCCTATGTAGCCCAGAAAAGATTATTACCATAGTTTTCTCTGCACAGCATTATTTAATGCATCAAGTACACCAACGAAATATGAAGTATGTAGGCATATTGTGTACAACCTACAACTTGGGGGTCACAAGCTGCTTTATACCAAGGAAAAGAGCAAGAAAGGAAAGTAAGCCTACCAAAAAAAAAAAAAAAAGTTAAACTAGTTTTACTTGTTTTAATTTCAGCAGTCCTTGAATAAACCTATAGCAATGAACAGTAATAGACTGCGATCTGGCTTAATACCTTCTCTCCTGCCAGGCTTGTATTCCTGGAGATGTTTTAGAGCTGGAATTCACTGACCTTTGTACAAGTGACACAGATCTAGCTTTCTGGTAAGAAGCCACAAATTATCATTGAGTGGAGCTGTGAGGACAATTTCTTGCAGAAAGCAAAAGTAGCAAAAGTTGATGTTTTGCCAACTTTACAAAAAGCCAAAAAAGAAAAAAAAAAAAAAAAAAAATCACATTTCAGCCAGGGTACTTATGTGAATTATTATCATAAGAAAGGACTGCCTTTTGCCAACTGTAATAGAAGTGGGAAATTTTCACTGTCATATGGTAGTGTGCTACCCAGGGTTCCTGTAAATAACAATAATAACAAATCCAAATCTAACTCAAGATCCAGTAGAAAGAGAATAGTAAACCTAGAAGCTCAACAGACACTTGCTAGTCAATGTAATTTCACCTGTTAGTAATTAAAGAAAATTAATCATTAATACCAATGACTGATTTCACATCATAAAGAATCATTATCACACTAAACCCTCACAAACACAGGAAGTCAAAATTTGTTGCAAATGCATGTTGCAGATTTCAAATTACCATTTGTTTTGTTGTTGTTGTGTTGTGATTGCTACACCTTGTAACTATAGAGCAGAAGGATGCTTTTACTTGCTTATAAGAGGTCAGAAAGAGAGCTGAGGAACCATTGGAGAGAGATAAAAAGAGCTAATTCCTGCCAAAAGAGACAAAATACAGCCAATTTTATATTAAACAGTAGTGAGCTGATTAGGCAGATTACTTTCTTCTCAAAACTCAATATCTGCTACCTCTTTTTGTTAAGACCAAGACTCAATTCTGTAGCTTCATTTGAGTAGTAGTGAGAACTGACAGTTCATTGCAAGATGTTTCCTCGTCAGATGACCTCTTGGGAAACTTCATTAAAACAAACAAGTAAACAACCAAACCAAAAAACAAAACTGTGACAATAGGGTGACAGAACGGGTGTTCCTCTGTTCTCTCAATAATTAGTGAAGTGCTCTAGATCTATTTATTTCCTCCAGATCTACTCAGCTACATTCTTACAAGGCCAGGATTTTGCTATTCTGCAATTCATTCATCACGGTGAACAGTGGTGAACTGTGATGAGTGGTGAACTGATCCCAAACTCTGAAGTATTTTGTGCAAAAATCTAATTGCATAACAAAAACACAAGAAACAAAACTATAGTGCCCTTCCGAAACTAAGGATTTTAGTCATTTGTCTATATTAGCTTATCTCTGAAAGGCATGCCAGGCAAATCTTTAATTACTTAGAAAGGTCAAGCTTCAAAACTATATATTTAATCTGGATTTAAAGAAGTATTTTCTAAACAGATGTGCTGGTATGCAAACACCTGCTGCTCCCTTTCTCTTGAGCATGCCTAATTTCAGTTACTTATCTTTTTTCTTTTTTTTCTCCATTCCTGCAATGGGTTTTTATTCAGGTCTTTCCCATCCTGGACATTGTCATTGTTCTCTGTGCTCCAGCAGAGTACAGTATTGAAGGCAACCATGTGGACTAGCAGATCTGTCAGTAGAGAAGAGCACAGACTGCTCTTTTGGGGTTTGAGTCACGATCTGCTTCATCCTGACCTCATCGCTATGCTGATCTCAGGCATGCTGCTGCAAGTGGAAGGGTATGCCACCACCATCAGTGCAACCACTACAATACATCCTTAGTCCCACTTAAATAGAATGGACCACACACAGTCTCATTCCTCAAGGCCATCAAACAAGGCTAAAGAGGGCAATTCTTCACCAACAGAAGACTGGTGAAACAGTAAGTTTTTAATCATTTCTTCCTCAGTCTATGCTATAAAATCAATCATAAATAGTCTCTGGGTGCAATAAAATTGGGAGCCGGGCTTCTAGAGCAAAAGGGGAGAAATAAGAATCTGGCAGCAAGTTTGGAGCCATCCCAAATATTGGGTGGTGGGTGGCAGGAAAGTGAAAGCCATCTGGTGGCTCAGATTTCCTGTATAAGGAGGTCCTCTGGTTTTGAGAATGTGGGCCTCAGCTCCTCCAGGAAACAAATGCTTGCAAAATGAAAAAGGAAATGTAATGGTTTGCCTGTGAATTTTGATACGTGATGCAGTAAAAACAGGGCTTCTAATAATGACATTTCTACATTTCTTCATTATGAGTCATGAGTAAACATGACATTTCTGCATTGCGATCTAGATATGTGATCAAAGATTAAAATGGAGCCATTTTAATATTTTAATTATTCTGGAACTGTCAGGCTTCAGAGTATGTTATGCCAACACCCAGTGCACAGCAAATAATTTGTAACAAAGAATTTTATCAATTTTAGCTGCTTTTTTCTCCATGCAAATTGTGTGTGAACGGGTCATTATTTTCTCAGATTTGCTCATTATTCAAATTGATCCACAATGAATAATTTATACTAATACTTCTTGTTCTGCAGCTTCTTCGCCACCAGTTTGTAGCTGCCTGTGCTAGTTTTGTCTGAACAAACAAATCATGTGGCCTCATTTCTGCTTCCAGATTGGCTGAGAATCACATTGCTGGTTAGGATACTCCTATTTATGAGGTTTTTTATGTGCTGTCTGCAGCTATACCCGTTCTCCATTTAAGCAGTGTGTTTCCACAAGCATTCTTATGACTCAATTCATTCATTACTATATGCACGGGAAGGAAGAAGGAGATGTATTGCAAACACAGCAAGGAGAATAAAGAGAATTCAAAGTTTTATCCTAGGTTTTTGTTTTCTTTTGTTTTTTTAAGTTTTCAGCCCATTCTTACATCCTTTTTGGCTAACAAGTCTTATTAACTGGAAGACTGCCTGTGGGTTTATCTAATTGTAGAAATCTTGCGCATTAGTACAAATTGGAAAGAAGAGCCTTCTCCAACAGTCAGTGGTATATCCATTACTGATATTTCATTTCAGGGTCACGGGCTCCAAAACGGCTAGGAACACCATTCTCTTATTAGTCAAGTAGCTTTAGGCACTTAACAGTGCGTCTCTCATTAAGCATTTCACTTAACAATTAGGGAGCATTCCCAGAGAGCTGGGTATCCATCCTACTATTCACCAGAACCTCCATTCTGTTATCGACCAGACCTAGTAATGTGATGTGGGTAAGATGCGAGTACAAGCTTTTTAATGTGGTAAACCTAAAGAATTCAGCTCTAGTATAGATCAGCTAAATCCTTCCTTGAGAAGTTAGTCTTCTTCATGCACCTACTTGCAGATCTTTCATTTCCTGCCACTTGTGGTAATCAGTCCTAATTTCACATGTTCAACAGGTAAGACAACCATTCCCTAAACTGATTCTTTCCCTCATGAACCTTTGTTCTGAAAGTGGTTATAATCTGTAGTCCAGCATGCAATGTCACAAAGGATGAAAGATATTAAAGGCAAGTATCCCCCCCACACAGACTGCCTGGGTCTTTCTACAGCAAAACCCACTTGGATTTGCAAGTTGGGCAGCTTGAATAATAAATTCTTTCAGCATCTCCTCAGATAGTCACACAGTCCTCAAAACGTCCAGGTCTCACAGGAGTGCTATCCTCCACCACAAGTCATATAAACCCAATATGTGTATTGGAAACATTCCTTTTGTGGTTTGTGTTTGGAAGCAACCCAAAAAAAAAAAAAAAAAAAGAA